CTCCCCCTCACCCCCCCCCCTCACCTCCCTCTCCTCCGTCCCCTCTCATCCGCTTCCCTCTCCTCCTCCTCCATTAAATTCAATCGTCCCCAAATTTTGATTCCGCACATCTCTTTCTCCTCTCTCTCTCTCTCTTTCTCTCTCTCTTTCTCTTTCTATCTCTTTCTCTTTATATCTCTATCCCTTTCTATCTCTATCTCTTTCTCTCTCTCTCTCTCTCTCTCTCTTTTTTCCTCTCTCTCTCTCTCTCTCTCTTCTCTCTCTCTCTCTCTCTCTCTCTCTCTCTCTCTCTCTTTCTCTCTCTCTCTCTCTCTCTCTCTCTCTCTCTCTCTCTCTCTCTCTCTCTCTCTCCTTTTCTTTCTCTCTCTTTCTCTTTCTATTTCTTTCTCTCTCTCTTTCTCTTTCTCTCTCTCTTTATCCTCTCTCTCTCTCTCTCTCTCTCTCTCTCTCTCTCTCTCTCTCTCCTCTCTCTCTCTCTCTCTCTCTCTCTCTCTCTCACACACACATACTCTCTCTCTCTCACATTCTCTCTCTCTCTCTCTCTTTCTCTCTCTCTCTCTCTCTCTTTCTTTCTCTCTCTTTTTCTTTCTATTTCTTTTTCTCTATCTTTCTCTTTCTCTCTCTCTTTATCCTCTCTCTCTCTCTCTCTCTCTCTCTCTCTCTCTCTCTCTCTCTCTCTCTCTCTCTCTCTCTCTCTCTCTCTCTCTCTTTCTCTCTCTCTCTCTCTCTCTCTCTCTCTCTCTCTCTCTCTCTCTCTCTCTCTTCTTTCTCTCTCTTTCTCTTTCTATTTCTTTCTCTCTCTCTTTCTCTTTCTCTCTCTCTTTATCCTCTCTCTCTCTCTCTCTCTCTCTCTCTCTCTCTCTCTCTCTCTCTCTTGCTCTCTCTCTCTCTCTCTCTCACACATACTCTCTCTCTCTCACATTCTCTCTCTCTCTCTCTCTTTCTCTCTCTCTCTCTCTCTTTCTTTCTCTCTCTTTTTCTTTCTATTTCTTTTTCTCTATCTTTCTCTTTCTCTCTCTCTTTATCCTCTCTCTCTCTCTCTCTCTCTCTCTCTCTCTCTCTCTCTCTCTCTCTCTCTCTCTCTCTCACTCTCTCTATCTCTCTCTCTCTCACATTCTCTCTCTCTCTCTCTCTCACATTCTCTCTCTCTCTCTCTCTCTCTCTCTCTCTCTCTCTCTCTCTTTCTCTCTCTCTCTCTCTCTCTCTCTCTTTCTTTCTTTCTTTCTCTCTCTCTCTCTCTCTCTTTCTCTATCTCTCTCTTTCTTTCGATCTCTCTCTCCCTCTCCCTCCTTCTCCCTTTCCTTCCCCCTCTCCCATCCCCCCCATCTCACCCTCATACCTTATCGAATTTATTGAAGCAGGGAGTGAGGTAAGGGCGTAGGGAGGAAGGGGGGGGGGATATTTTCATCATCTCCGCGATCGGTTTCGCTTCGGCTTAATCGGGATGACGTCATTAGGGGGTCGACGCGCTCACCGGAATAGCCGCGTGGTAAGTGTCGGTTCCCGTTTTCTATTACGGGGAGCGTATCCCCTAAGACTCTGCATTGTTATTGCAAAGGGCGATGGCACACAGGGCGAGTGTGTGTGTTTATGTGTGTGTGTGTGTGTGTGTGTGTGTGTGTGTGTGTGTGTGTGTGTGTGTGTGTGTGTGTGTGTGTGTGTGTGTGTGTATGTTCACGCATATACGCAGGGCATACGCACATGCTCCTGGGCACAGACTCAAACTAACGCAAACACATACAGTATAATATACATTGAATAGACAGATAGATAGATAAATAGATAGGTAGATAAAAAAAAATAGATGGACAAATTGACAAATCGACAGATCGATTGATAGATAATTAGGTAAATTAAAAAATGTCTCTTTTTACTTTTTGTAAAGTTATTAATATCGATACTGATATTATTATTATTAACATTATGATGATCATAATATTCTTAGAATACTGAGCGCAACAATCATTTTCAAAAATCTCTTAGAAAATCAGATAGTCAGCGACCTCTTGGTGACTAAAGACTTGCTTGCATGTTTATAATTTACTCATTTACTAATTACTTACTTATTTACTTATCACTTGATTATTTATTACTCACTTACTTATTGCTTACTTGGGGAGCCATCTAGGTGTAAGCAGGATTACTAAACAAAAATTTCAGTAGAAGCGGTGCGAATCTCAGCCTCTCTGGCGCCGAGGCAGCTGTTCTGGACTCTCCTTCGTTTAGTCTTGATTCCACTTGTCCCGTGGAGCAAAGTCAGGGAAATCGCCACAGCTGATGTATCTGTTGATATTTGATGATGATTTACTTATTTGTTAATTGCTTATTTACCTATTACTTACTTGATTATTTACGACTTACATTTTTAGTTATTACTTACTTGCTTTGTACTTACTTACTTTCTTTGTACTTACTTATTTCCGTTGTACTTACTATGTACTTACAAATTACTTACTTACTTTTTAATTACATATTACTTATTTACTAATTTAGTAATTAC